TGAGGCACGTATGTAGGGCACTCCCACATGTAGGATTACAGGCATAATGACAGCAGGGCGGGAAATGGTTGTGCAGTTATTATGAACAGAAAAGCTTCCAGTTTCAAAGCATCTCCATCCACTTTCTTCATGCTCATTCAAATATAAATCCATGCCTAGCTACAGTTACATCAATATCATTAACTGTTTGCTCTGTCCAGCCCATCTCCAAATAAACAAAATCATGTCTTTTTGCCACATTTAAACCTGTATATTTGGGTTTTTTTCACAGTGAGTTTGACCTGATTATTTGCAGCACCAACTGTGTTGCACCAACAATACTTTTTTTTTTTTGTTAAGAGTGCTTTGCTGCAGGGGTATTTTAAAAGGATTATGTTGTCCATAAAAATGGGGACAGGAGCTTTGTCCTCAACCCTGTGAGCTGGACAGGCCCCTGTTTGAGAGGCCATCTGGTGAGGTTCTTCCACGGAGAGTCACATGTCCCCTCACAGGTCCAGCAAGGCAATCTGCTGTCCAGTATTAAAATTGGTTTAGGAGTGTCTACAAAAACAGCATGAGTGGAGAAGTGTGGTGCCTCTAATCATTGAAGTAGAGCAAATAAATGACGTATAAACAGTGGCAATGGGTTAAAAGAGATTTTGTTGTAGCATGAACATGTTCATACCACAAAATAAGCAGCTGGAAACAGCAGTGTTGTCAGTAAGCGTTATATAAAGTGTTTGCCAAATTAAATCGTTTTAGGTCAAATTTCCCAAAGCTGCCGCTACAAATTCACAGAAATGTTAAACCTCGACCACAGTGAAACAGATACGAGGTTCATCTGTTAATAACCCCTGAAAACAGAACTGCGTACCAAGGTTTTTGTTAATGAGCTGTCAAAGGGTAAATCTGGATTAGCGGAGGGGAAAAAACAGCTTTTAATGAGTTTCTATTTTTGTGTGTTGCTTTTAGGTGAACATCGCGACCTGATCCACTGCTCCACAGCTTTCATCTGAAACAGATGCTTGGTAACAGATCTGCCTGTGCTTTTTCGGCATCCGCCAACCAAAGGACAGCCGGCCTTTCACCTGTGTAACCTGAGCCAGCATGGATGGAGTCATGATGAATTTCCAATCTTCAATAGAAACTCAATCCCACTGATGTCACTGAAATCACAGTCCTCGAATGAGACCTATCATTATGTCTGATTAATATTAATTAGTGAAAATCTTCTCACACAGCAGATTTTGAGTAAAATATGTGTAAATAATTCTTTGGAAAAAATATCTTGGAGTGAGCGCTGCACTAAGTCTGTCAGAGCTAAGCATGACCCACTTTCTCCTGTGTCCTGTGAACACCTGCACGACACCAGCATATCCCCACGCACTCATGCACAGGCAGCAGTTAATGCTGCCTCAACAGAAAATAATTTAAGAGCTAATAGTACGAGTCATGTGCATTTGCTGTGTTAAAGATACACCTGAATTATGACTGGCATGAAAACAACCTTTGTTTGATTGTGTTAATAGACGACTTGTGTCTTGTTTTTTGCCCGAAAATAATCCAGCAGAATTAGTGAAATGTCAAACATGTGGACAATCAGTTACTTTGACAAGCCTTTTCACACCTTTTAAATGTGTCCATACTCACTCGCCTACAGTAGAAATGTCAGTGATCGTGTAAGCATGTTTATTCAAGCGCTTGTACTGAGAATAATGGGCTGTGTAAACGAGACCACAGAGCCCAGTGCAGGGTGAAGCTTTTTTTAGCAGTTCAGAGTGACCCAGACAGCGCAAACCACGAACGAAGAAACAGCAGGGAGGGAGGGGGGAGAAAGAAAGGGATGGGACAGGGGGAATATAAATGAGACTAGAGTAAGGGAAAAGTACTGGGCGGATGTGGTGTTGCAGATGCATAATGCCTGAGCACATGTGAGTGGGTGTTGGGGAGCAGCAATGAATGCTGCGAAACAGCAGGGAGACGACGTGGAGTTGGAGACGACTGAAGGTGAACAGCAGAGATGTGTTGCGAAAGGGTGCTGACGTCAGGCACCAACGGTCGAGAGAAACAACAACAAAAAACCCAAAACAAACAGGAGATATGTTGTTTGAGGAAAAGGTTTTAAAGAGAGGCTCTTTAAGGCGAAAGGAAGGACAGTGAGAACAATCGCTGATCATAAAAAGGTCCAGTGGTTAAGAAAAAGAGGAATATAAGACTGGAAATAAACTGTGTTTGTAACACCTACACCACAGTGAAATGTTTAGATTTTTTCAGCTAATTGCTTCTTTGGAATCACCTTGCTGGTGCACAAATACTATTTAATGCCTGTCAAACAGTGTTATCTTTAGAATTTGTTAGGTAAAGAAATGAAACGAATGATGTGTTTCTGTGACAGGTGGGGTAGCAAAGTGCCCCTCCTGTACTGACACATAACACTGGTTTATTCCTTGAGTTAGGGGGCCAACATTAGGGGGCCAACATGTGGGCCAAACTAAATTTAGACACAGGTATAGAGAATAAACACAATCAGACAAGGAAGGAAGTAAACCTAAACACAAGATAGAAACATGCATGAACTTCAGCACTAGAACACAACCAAGACTAAAAGGCTGAGCAAACTGAGTGCACCTGTACAATAAACACAGCTAAGAAATACAAAATCACAAAGCAACCAGAGCACCTGGACATGAACTGGAATCTTGAACTCCAGGCTGATCAAAAGTCCTGTGGTGCATATAAAGCAAGAACAATGCTGAATCTACATGGGACTGTTGGTTCATTTGCTAACAAGAGAGGGTGGCAGCAGCACTGTGACAATAGTCCCACAGGTCTGAAAGGCTGCTGATGCAGGCTTAATAACCCTCAACCCCTAAAGACCAATCGTAATGCTGAGTGGAACCCTGCTGTCCAGTTAGCAGATGGCCTGCAGCAGAAACTGAGGCTGCGTAGCTTTGGTCAAGGGCAGCTGAGCATCAAACATTTATTTTACAGTTAATGCCCTATGCCTTGTAAGTCATCACAGGGTTCCTATTATCTTCCACAAGACCAGGTGAGGTAAATGTTCTAGAAGCTAAAGCGGGTACAGCCACTTTGGTGATTAACAGTTTTGATTTAACACAGATTATAGGTTCATTCCTCTCCTTCTTACGGGATGCCACTGGAACTTCAGTTTGCAAACCGGAGAAAGCAAAGTATGGGGGTGAGGGGATGCAGGAAAGAGATGGCAGAGATGAGGCTTGTCTGTCATATGATCCTGGGGTTGCTGTGGCAACTGCTCCCAGTAGTCAGATGAAGGTGTGTCAAGAGCATCGTCAAGTGAGAAAAAAAGGAGAAATGTGTGAGAGCGAGCTTGTCTTGTGTACTTTGATTCCGCCTTAACCAAGTCTGCCGCACAAGAATAAACCTGCTTCTCTTACACTGCAAAGGTCATGTTCGACTTTTTTGTGTGTGTCAATTAAAACTGTTAAACAGGATTCTGGCCTCCGACAGAGTTTAAAAGCAGGTAATTACACTCATTTGCTATATTCAATCAAAATAGAATAATAATAATCGAATAATGTCTTATTATTAATGATTATAATCATTAATAATAATCCTTCCATTTAAAAAGAATCTGATAATGATGCAGACATGTCAAAGTTAAAGCACAGGAAGCGGACATGTGGGAGCAAAATAAATCCATAAACTCAGCATGAAAAATGGCCTCTCAATACTATCTTCTCCCCCTATCTCGGTGGTAATAAAGAATAGTCTGCTGGATGGTGCATGATTTATGGTCCCCTGGGTGACTCGGTCTGCTGCAGTCGTGTCGCACGTCCACGTCTCAATAGAGAAATGACCACCCACCTCATGACTTACAGTTTCATCACAGAGATAAAGCTATTAGTCTGAGATTACTGCAGTGGAGTCCATGTTGGGAAATATTAAAAATAATCTCTGTGTGAATAGTTACTGGGTATTTTTAGTTCCTAAACTGGGTTTTACTGACTTTTACAATCATTTCTGGACAAGAAGGCAACAATAACACCTCATCGCCTCAACCTGAGGTACATGTCTAACAGGAACAAACGCATCAGCCCAGAGTCATGCAGAGGCTCCAGTCTGGTTTCCAGCTGATGCTGAGTCATTTCAATTATTGATTACTGTTGATTTATTAATGCTTATTTATTGCTGAGTAATTTAAAACTTCTCATGTTTCCCTTTCCTGTGTCTTTGAAAACAGTAAGATTATCTGCTTATATGCTTTTTTCTGCTCATATACTGGCTCCCAAAAATCCTTTTATCAAGCAATTTCATTTGTGCAGAGCTAAAAAAAATTCATGGTTAATAGGTAACTATGAGCAGTCTGAGGGGTGGCTGTTCTCCCAAGGAAAATGTCAGAATAAGCCTGTGACCAGCAAATGTTTATGCATGAGACCAAGCGTTAAGAAAGCAAAGGAGGTGATGAGGTGAGTCTGGTAGAGAGCCAGGTCAGTGTGGATGAAGGGGTCTGCAAACCTGACCCTGACCTGAATCTTGGAAACCTGTCCTTCACTGTTTATATCAGGTTTATAATATTACTGTTTTTTGTGCATGACCTTTAATAAAAGCGCAAAACTTTGTTAGACACCACGTTAATTTGAGCTTTATATGGTTGTTTTCTTTGTTTTGTTGCCCAGATCTGCGTGTGATTATTGTTATCAGATATATTTTTCTTAAAATAAACATTTCCTATCAACGCTGACTCTTCTCCGCTATAAAACGCACATTTCAACATTTTGCTCATTTCATCATAATACTGCCACCAGAAACCAGGCTCATTTAGCTCTACCTTAAATATGTTTGTTTTTTTCTTTTTCCTGAGCACTGTTTTTCAGTGTGCCGACCGGTCATGGCTGAACGGTTTCAAATTTCCATCAATTGAAAAGCGAATGACGAAAACTGCGTCAGTCGGTCGTTTCCTCAGGTAGGAGTGGATAACCTTGACAAATCCGCGCACGGTTGTAGCCCCCTTCATTCACTCGGCGTCCTTCTTCCGGCGCAGAGATGCCGTGATGGATCTCAAACAAGTGAAAGAGTGGGGCGTGTTAATTTGCCACTGTTGATAATGAGAGCCACTTCGTGCGTCACGGTGCGCTCTCCACCCTGCACGTCAATTGTTGGCAGTGCAGCATGTGATGCTCCGTCCTGCACTGTCCTGTGAGCGCTCAGTCAGTACCACAGCCGCACACACACATACACATGCTCGTGGTGGATGTATTCATGCCTCTCTCCAGATATTCTCTGACAACTGCGATCGCTTAAGCCCGGATTATACTGCTGTACAAGACTCACGGTGAGAAACTCTTTTCCTGCCATTGCTTCATTTAACATTTCTTTCTGCTTAAAAGTAGTTTTAATTGTTCTGTGTCATACCTGAGATGCTTGCCAACTTTAAAGAGAAGTTGTGTTATGTTGCGAACAAAAAGGCATCAAGATTCAAATGTGCTCCGCGACGCACGCAGGTCTGGGCTCTGGAGTGACCTTGATTCTGCTCAGGACGAGCAGTGAAAACAGAGGCAGAGGTATCGCTGTCATCACCAGATGTCTCACCTGGTGCTCCAGACAGTGATCTCTGTCGTAGTGTTGATGATGGAGATTTTCACATCCTGCATGCTTTCAATTCACACAGTCCCAGCCTCTGAGGTCTAATGCTGCCATTTGGCCATTAAAGACATGCGTGCTTCAGACTTTTAACACTTTTTACTTTGTGAAACAGCTGATTAACCTTTAACTGTGGCTCAGACTTGTAGAGCTCGCTGATAATCGCAGGATCAGCTGATCAATGAAGTCTGGACATCTAATTGAGACTGATTGCAGAAGCTGATGTATACAGGGTTGCCTCTTTATAATCAAACTGCATTTTGCGTCGTGTGTGACACTGTCAATAAGTAACAGCACCTGTGTATGACTGTGTACATGTATCACTAATAACCACCTTCTAGCTAATAGGTGAGGTCCTTCATCCTTATCTGCAAATGAATATAACTTTTAACACACCGTGGTCTGTTTGTATGTCTTTGACATACTGCTTTTCATATATGCTGGTATCTCTTTTTAGCCACAGACTGTTGGCAAGAAACAGAAATCCAAATCATGTGTTTTTACTAGACTGATGATGCAGCTTGTATATCTAAAGCCAGGCCAGGTTGTAACTGTGCGGTGAGAGTCTCTGAAGGACAGCACAATGAATGACCTCAGATAAAGCGAGCCATACCCAAAGGTTTCTTCCAACCTTTTGCTGTAGTATGAAATTGCTCCACACAGACTTGGTCTTAGCATTAGCTGGGGTCATCTGAACTGTGTGCTGATTTTTTTTTTTTCCCAGAGGATTATTGGATGGGTTAGTTGATGTTTGCTGTTTTTATTTTTCCAGTGTTGGCCCCATGATGCAGTCGCTGATTGATATTACGTATCTACTGTAGCGTGGGATTGAATGACAAGACAGAAAAGCAGCACTCGGGTGGTTTTTACAGTTAATGCACACAGGATTATGAAGATTTGTGAATGGCTGCGCTTGGATTATTACATCATGGGATCATCTTGTTGTGCACAGAGGAGGAAATCTGTTTTAGGGATGTTTTGTTTTTTGTGGGGGGTTTTTTCTTTAGGACAGTAAAAGCGCATCAAGAATATGTAGGTTTGTTGTTGTCGGTAGAAGCTCTAAGAGGGTTTGTGGAGCATTTAAGGTCTGCTGAATCGGCTGATACGGAGGAAGCTTGTTTTAGGCTGATGTAAGCAGTGACGATGAGATCTCGGGCGCATCACTGCTGTAGCATCACGTGAAAGGTAGAGCACCTTCATTCAGCTCAAGTGTGGAACTAGAAATATGAGCTCACAATCACAGAGAATACTTTTTCTAGTTAATTTCTTTTTCTTTTCTTTTTCACTTCAGACCTCATATTTTGCAGTTTTTGCATCTCAATTGGAAAACATGATGGAGAAAAGAGCCCACTCAATAAGTAATGAGTCTGTGCAGGCCTGTGATGTGAATAAGGAGAACGTATGAGGGCACTTCATCCAAAGCATCGTGTTTACTTCCTCTATTACATTTGGGTTGAACCAACCACTCCCTCAAAGAGGGGTGGGGATGGATGTTGGCGCAAGGCTCCAGAGGATTAAAGGATTTACATGAAAAAAGCTTCACCAAAGTTAAGCTTTTCAGAACAGGGAAATTAAATAGAACAATTTGCAGGATTGGGAATTTTTGGGACCCGAAAACATTGCATGAGATACAAAGAGCTGCAGTGAGGGGCTTTGTTTCCGTTCCAATCACTGGTGAGCTTTTCTTAAATTCGGATACTGCATACAGTTGCAAGAAAATGGTAAAATGGTAAATGACCCGTATTTGTATAGCGCTAAGAATATGTGGAAAAGTCCTAATAAGCATAACCCAAGCAAACAACACAACAAGACCATTTATTTTTTAGTTAACCGATTCAATATTACATCCCTATGTGGCAAAGTCGTGTGAATCTTTGCTTTCAGTATCTCAATGTGACCCATTTAAGTGGCACGAAGTGCAACTAAGCATTTGCCTTAACTATTGATCAGCCGTGTGTGATGGTGTGGAGAAGTGCACCCCAAAGCTCAGAGCACATTGCACTCCAACATCTCTGTGAGTTTCCTCACATGAGCGCCACACTTCTGGCCCTTTCACAATACTTTGTGTTGGTAATTTAAAAATATAAACCATCTATTGCTATCATGACTCAGTTTTTCAGTTTCAGATGTCTTGACATTTTTTTCTTTTAGAATTTGCTACCATAACTTAGACTTCATGAGTGCTGGCCCAAATGCAGAAAGGCCTACATCTTGACACAACAAGATCGTGTTTTACAGATGGGATAAGGTTCTTGTTTTTCTTTTCATATGAACCAAATGGTTTTTGGTGTTGTGCATCCACAAAGTCTCCTGACGTTACCACACAGCCCTAAAGGCTGTAAACGGACAGCAGTGATGTTGTCTTTGCAGCCCTGCATTCCTCTGTATTGTTGTTCTCCTGGTGGCAGACTCATAAGCATGTCCAATAGCCAATGTGACATTTAGTTACTTAAAAGTTACCCTGGAATCACGTGTGACCTCTCAAAATGCCCGACTGGTGGAGTCTAAATTCTTTAAAAAGGATTGTTTAATCCTCTCCAGCCTGATGAGCATCAGTCATCTTTTTTTCTCAGGTCCTCGGGTGTTCAGACAACTCATTTCTTCACGCCACGATTCACTTCCTTTTAGTGCTTTTCAGACTATATCAGAGGTCTGATATTTAAATGCTGCTCAGAGTCCACTAACATCTCAGCATCATCGCCTGTTGCTTTTATATTCAAATTTACTGCTAATACTACTCCTCATCACAAACGTATAATATTGGATCAAATTCTGCAATAAATCAATGTGACTGGTTCTGCTGGTTTCTAATTTTTTCCTTAAAGACTTGTAGTAACCTCTGGTAATGCTTTAGGTCACATTTATGCAGAAGCATAATAAAATTGTCCCCAAATCTTATTCGTACAGCTGTCTTTGTGACAAATTGTCTGTGATCCTGTCTTTATGGTGCCATTCTTTATTGGCTCTGGAGAGATATAACCATGTGTTACAATCCAGTGGCTTATTAGGAGGTTAACCAAGCAATAAATGGGGTATTACTTGTGTCAGCTACTGTACAAAGTGTTATTTAACGATCACAGTCAGGAAATTAGACTCACCAAGGGCAGAAACCTTCTACTATTTTATTCACAACGTAGATGCTTAACGTTGTTATCATTTAATAATACAACATCATTACTAAATTAAATGTTATGATGTCCAAACACCATTTTGGGTGCGACTATCGCTCTGTTTTGTTTTTCTGATGCAGGACTGAAGCCAAGAACTGAAATCCAGCAATCGCTCTTCAGCATCGCTCTTCCTTTCATCCCCACCTGACGTTTGGCCTCCGTCACTTCTTCCCGTCTCTCGCTCTCTGTTTCTCTCTCCACTCGCCCCCACCCCCACCCCCCTCCTGACCCTCAGCCTCCCTGATGCCTAAGAACAGCAAGGTGACACAGCGCGAGCAGAGCCATGAGCACGTCACAGAGTCGGTGGCTGACCTGCTCGCACACGAGGAGCCGCTCGACTACAAGAGCAGCTCCCTGAATGTCGGAGGGGCGGCGGGGAAGAAAGTCCCTCAGATAGAGGTCCCTGAAAACGATGGGCGACCCGCCTGGAACAGCAAACTGCAGTACATCCTGGCCCAGGTGGGCTTCTCTGTGGGCCTGGGGAACGTGTGGCGCTTCCCATACTTGTGCCAAAAGAATGGAGGAGGTGAGTCACAGGCAATACTTACAGCATTTACCACATATATACATTCTTCTTTTTAAATATGATTCATAACAGCCTGTCTGGGTCTTGAACTCTTTCAGGCATCCTACTCATGAGGATTTTGCACTTAAATTCTATGGAACTGATGAGAATTACATTTATTTCTTCATTTAATTAATTAACTCCCTTACATGTTACTCCACCAACACTGCCAGGAAGTAATTTATTATCAATTATCATTTATCCACATTCAGTTGTTATGATGATGGAGAAATTAGTTTGTGTCTTTGTGGCTCAACACTTTTCTTTTGACACTTACTGTAGTACTTTTTCCCATATTTAGCAGGTATTTATATTTCAGTCTCTGTGGAACTATTTTAGTCACAAATCTTTACAAACCCAAATGAAGACTGAGGTTAACGATGGCTTTGGTCTGAGAACTCATGATGTCACATTCATTTTGTAAAGTTGTGTTGAGCAATAACTCTTCAGGCTTTCTAAAGGTCTTTCAAAGGTTTTATTTGGGCATCGCCTGCTTTTTTCACTCATTTTCAGTCGTCCTGGTTCCTCACAGTGTTCAGAGCGATGTCACTGACCTATGAATCGTTCAAGCACAAAAAGGCACATAAGGGGATGAACCAGTGTTTTGTCAACACATAACAGACAACTTAGCAAAGAACCACTTATAAATTGTATTTTTAGGCACTTTGTTACTAGCAGGCATAAAATGTATATCTTACATAATGTTATATGTTTTTATAATGTATACATTTTTTTAGTTGAATCTACAAAAGACATCAAAAAATAACTGGGCTGAAAACCAGTGGCAACGGGGTTATGGAGTGATGACTCCAAATTAGAAACGCTGTTTCAAAGAGGTGTTCAGGAGAGAGGTACAACAGTGAGTGTCTACATTTTCCCAGCAAAATATAAGAGGTTATAAATAACAAACTCTAATACAAAGAGAAGCTAAATTTCAAAAGTAAAAAGAACTAAAAGCTACAGATCCTACAGCCCAAACAGAAATCAAACATGAAAACCATCCAGAAGAAATCTTATAAATGAACAGAAAATAACTAATAATCAGCAAGAATTAGCTTAGGGATTATAACAGATGCATGTGGATATTAAGAAAATATTCTTGTTAACATTTTGGTATTGATCGCTCAGTCCTATTCGAGCAATGGGATTTGTTTTCTTTACAGACAAGCATGTTCGTTTGCCACAGAGAGAGCTGTTCATCTCATGACCTTGACTATCAAAAACAACACGACACTTTCATTCATTTCAGCCCTGCCAAGAGAGCAGCTGTACTGTGTATAAAGCAGCCAAGTCTAAAAATAGCTGCATTATTGATTACTATAGCCAGTAGGGCAGGCCAGGCTCAACTGATACCCTGGTAAACAGAGCGCTGTATGGAGAATGAATGTAACTGTATGAGGTTTTATTTTTCTCAGGTATGCATGTACTCTATGTAATCGGAGGCGCATGCAGTGTAAACTGGTGTTCATTGTAGGAAAAACACCTTGTCATCATGGGCTGACAGATCTGCTCTTGCTTCATTGGTATAAGTGTTTTTAGCTTTACTGCTTGTGCCTGACTTACAGCATATACGTAGGATTTATTGCCTATAGGCCAGATTTACTGCCAGTAATCTTCCACCAGCACTTGCCAGGTTATGCGATTTGACAAGCAGGCATTTTTCATTGTGTAATTTGCTGTCTGCCACCCAATTACAGACACATTAAAGATCAGGGTTGCTGGCCGCTACTGATGTGTGGACTCCTCTCTCGTTTCCTCCTTTCCTCAGGACACGCCTTTCTCTTTCTCGTTCAGCATCCTCTGTCATTCGTCCTCCTCTGAGATGCCTATCCTGCATCACATTTTTTAGCGGCCTTTGGTTTCAACTAGCGGGTGATGAAGTGGATTTCAAGTTTGGCAAGAGACCAGAATCGCTCACTAAATTTAACTTCCTCTTTATTTCAGCTTTCTGGATTTAGCCTTTTGCCTCCTCTCATCTCTCTGCCTCATTACTCCACCGACTGTGAGATGCATGTACTACTGAATGTAATTCCCGCTTCTGATGTATTAATAGTACATGTTTGCCAGCTATAAGTCTTTATATCCAGGATGATGACTCACCCCTCACACATAAAACACAGTTTCGTCCTGATGATTCCTCTCTGGATTAAGCTCCAAAGGGGACAAATTCAGACATCCTTTAAGATTAAACTATATTTCAAAGAATATTTATCAATGAGGCTGAGTTAAACAAAACAAGTTTTATTCCGGCAAAAATGCTGTCAGGAATATACCAGGTTATGCAATGGGCATTAATTTTTACTTCTATGTTACATCTGCGACGTACCCTGTGTGTAGTTAGCAGAGGGATTGCTTTCTTTAACTTGATCTGTTATTTTCTATTTAAATTAAAAAATGAAGGAAATGGACAGGAGGAAACAAAATTACTGAACTGACCAATCACAGTCATTGTGGGCTGAGTCGAAATAGTTATATTTTCTAGAGAGGTGCATCTCAGATCTTAGGTTGGGCCATAGGTTACGGTGTGGGGTTCCAGAAGGGTTAGTACTTAAGACGTACAGTGAATATTTAACCCAGACACAAAATCCACTGTCAGTCTTCATCACAGCAACAACAACAGCTGCAAACCCAAAAAACTGCAGGTAATTTTGTCAGAGACACCCTCCATAACAGACAGCAGTGCATAGCTGCAGTTTAACAAGCTGAAGCTGCACAATTCACCTTTGTAGGAGTTCTTAAGTCAGTGATCTGGCAAGTAGTCAGCAAACAGCGGGGATGCTCTCAATCCAGTTCATTACGTTTTTTATTTAGTTAATTGTAGTTTTAGTGGTGTGAGCCAATGGTTATTGAAGCCATCGGTTGACCATTTTCACTGTAGTTAAACCAGATGTAACAGACAGCAGAATAGAATAGAGTCGCCCTTTATTGTCACTGCACAACGAAATCGTGGGAGGGAAAAAGCTCGTGCGCCGCCCGGGAATCGAACCCGGGTCGCAAGAATGGGAAACTTGCATGATACCACTACACCAGCGGGGCAACGGTATACCGCTAATGGAGGCCCATCATAGCATAGCCCGCTTTACCGTGCACATTATCCTATCGCATAAAACCTGAGAGCAGTGACTGAGGGTGTTTAGTGGGATCACGCGAGAAGTAAAAAGGTTATTTTCCCACAGTTTGATACAACTGTCCTACTTTTACTGTAGCAGCCAGAGGACACCCAGTGCTACCCATTAGCGTAGCACTAGCATTTTACAGCATGAAAAAGCTCCCTATCCAGGGGGACAAGGACTTGTGATTTCCTGTGTAAGTTAGCCAACCAAACAGCAACACTTTTTTCCTAGAAACACCAAATCTTTTTTGTTTGTTTGTTTTTTCAGGCGCCTATCTGGTTCCTTACTTCATCCTCCTCCTCATTATTGGCATCCCTCTCTTCTTCTTGGAGCTGGCAGTGGGTCAGAAGATCAGGCGTGGAAGTATCGGGGTGTGGAACTACGTCTGTCCCCGCCTGGGTGGAATAGGAATGTCAAGTCTGATGGTAAGCTGAGATGCTTCTGTTCCTGTAAGGAGTGTGAGACAGAGCCATCATCTTTTTAACTGTGAGCCAAATGTACACTCTTTCTTTAGCAGTGCTCTTAAAGTCTTTAGCGGCTCCATAGGAAGCAGTTTGACAAGTGAAGCATGGTGATGAGATCAAAGAGGTTCTATCTATTTATCTATCTAGTTAAAGTTATATCTTGATGCAGGTTTATGAAGGTATTGACGTGTCTGAGAGTGGAAGGTAGTCTTACTTCAGAGCTGCAGAAGTAGCTATAAATATCTCACAGAAGATCACTGTTGAAAAGAGAGCACTTCAATTATTCATGCTTCCCTCAACCTTATTTAGCTTCTGAATGTCCTTGCTGGCAAGGCTGCTCCAAAGACTGACAGCAGCATTGGGACATGCACAAAGCACCTGCCTCATTTGCATGTTTTTCTCACTCTGCACAGATGATCCTCTGCACATGTGATGTCTATATCAAACCTGACATCACATATTTGTACCTCATTAAATGTTATCTGGCTGTTTCTGTCGCATAACGCCATCTATCTGTCTGTAGGTGTGCGGCTTTGTGGGTCTCTACTATAATGTGATCATCGGTTGGAGCATTTTCTACTTCTTCCAGTCCTTTCAGTATCCTCTCCCATGGAGTGACTGCCCAATCAGAAAGAATGGGACACTTGCCAGTGAGTTTATATGAACTTACTTTAGTGCAATACCAACATTTGTTAATTGACAGTAAACGCTGTTTCACAGATGCATTTCTCTCCAAAATCTCATGGTAGTCCCTCTCATTAGTTGTGCAGTTACAAAAGATGACTAAAGGATACTGCCTCCAATGCCATTCTGCTAGGATGGCTATAGATAAACAGGAATGACAGTTTTGTGCAGACACAGGTTGCCCAAAATGTAAAGCTAAAGTTTAAAGTGCAGCAACTTAAGTTTAGCTATGTAACATGGTTTAGTTATTCCAAACTGTGATATTTCCTGCATATAACCAAAGTTACAGGAAAAACCCTGAAGACTGATCTGGACTTAATGTCAAGAGTCTCTTGGCTAAGAAGAGGAATTTGGGGATGGAAAAGCAATTTTCCTTTTAGGCAACAATTTAAAGAAAGGATACAAAAAGAGTTCGTATTTTTTCTCTCATAGGGTTCAGAAATTCACACATGGGTCTTTCAGACAGTGGGAACAAACAGCCAGTATGAGGATTAAGATGAAAGACAGTTTGGATTCTTGAATTCTCGTAAAACCACCAATAACTTGAAGTTAATATTTGGGCCACTCTTCATTACAACATCGCTTCAGTTCATTGAGAATTGTACGTGTTTGTTTATGTGGACGCTGCACCGGTCCGTCGTGGTGAAGAGGGAGCCGAGTGTAAAAGCGAAGCTCTCAATTTACCGGTCGATCTACGTCCCTACCCTCACCTATGGCCACAAGCTGTGGGTAGTGACCGAAAGAACGAGATCGCGGATACAAGCGGCAGAAATGAGCTTCGTCCGAAGGGTGGCTGGCCTCTCCCTTAGAGATAGGGTGAGAAGTTCGGCCATCCGGGAGGGGCTCAGAGTAGAGCAGCTGCTGCTCCACATCGAAAGGAGCCAGCTGAGGTGGTTCGGGCATCTGACAAGGATGCCCCCTGGGCGCCTCCTGGGTGAGGTGTTCCAGGCATGTCCCACCGGGAGGAGGCCCCGGGCAGACCCAGGACACGCTGGAGAGATTATATCTCTCGGCTGGCCTGGGAACGCCTTGGTATTCCCCCGGATAAGCTGGAGGAGGTGGCTGGGGAGAGGGAGGTCTGGGCCTCTTTGCTTAGGCTGCTGCCCCCGCGACCCGGCCCCGGACAAAGCGGATGAAAATGGATGGATGGATGTTTATGAATAACTCCCTTAAGTTCCCATCGCAGCATTTCTCCCATGTTGAGGTCGGCACTTTGACTGGCTTTTTGCAGAGTCGATTCTTTTCTTTTTCAGACGTTCTGTTGTAGGTTTATTACTGTGCTGTGCTGTGATTGTTGTCGTGACCTAGCTGTGGCCAAGCTTTAGCTGTCGAACAGATGGCCTCACTTTTGACTCTAGATATCTTCGGCATATCGAGAGGTTCATGCCTCACTGAATGACTGCAAGGCGCCGAGGTCCTGTGGCTGCAAAAACAAGCCCAAATCATCACCCTTCCACTACCATGCTCGGCAGTTGGTTTGGGGTGTTTGTACTCACATGCTGCATAGAGCAGGGCGATATGACCAAAAATATTTATCACGATATACATTTGAAAATTTGCGATAACGATATAACTGACGATATAATTGACACTAGACAAAATACTTTACAACTCCACAACTTTATTAGTGCAAAAATAACCCCCAATGTATTTTCACTTAAACAAGCAGCTGTTTTTTATCTGCATTAAAGTTATATAAAAATTTAACAGTGCAAATGCAAATTCCTTGCTGACAGTTTAACCAAAAGGCATTTCCAGTGGAAATTGGCCAACAATGAAAACAAAGGCACTGCACATTTGCGTTTTACCCATATTCTATCGTGATATTTCATTTTCTTATCATTGCCCAACATTATACCGGTATTACCGTGAGCGGTACGATATGAGGTAGAGCTCTTTGTTTTTCTGCACTTTCTCTGCACAGTCTGCGATGAATTTGCTTGGATGTTCACTCCACGGAAGATTGTGGCATTGTGTTAATACACACCGGAACGTTCCAGTTTTTATAGAGGTGGTCACTCTTGCTACGTACTGTTGTTACTTACAGTCCTGTGAAAATCGTTCTTTTTCACATGACCGTACAGGAAAACTGTCTTCACTGCAGGTCACTGATGCATTTAATGCAGGCCGCTTAGGGTTTGATTTTTAAAGGTTCAGTATGATGAGAAAATCATGCTACTGATTTGGTGAAACATTGCAGATTGCACATAATTCTCACAGTTATACTTCAATGGATTGCTGTGTTACAAAGCTTCAGTCTTCATCAACACTCCTGAGCAGAAGACACAAGCTGTCTTCCCTTCACTACAACTTTCTGTCAAGACTTCACTTGCCTAATCCAGATTAAAACCCACTGGAACTTATTCGATTAGTGGTGATTATATTGTAAACCCTGGGGCAGCCAAAAACCAGCATGTGAATGACTCAGCAAGGCTGGCAGAAAGACGGGGGAAGCAGAGATTCATGCTGAAGGACGCTAATGCTGAAGGACAGCAGCAGACTGTAAAATATTTCACGGCCGCTGTGATGACATACACGTGGAAGCAAATCGATCAACAAACATAGTAAAGAACAACTTGATTCAGTTTAATTTGTGAAGCATTTTCACCTGCTTGTGCTTGACTTTTTTCTGTGTGCCGTGTGTGTCTCTGCACAGATAAAGCTCAGTAATACGTGATCATATTATCACAACACCGCTGCCTCTACTCTCAGCCACACACAGTATATTTCATTTCTTCAAGGTAACAAGTTAATACACTGTGAGGAAAATCTCAAGGGTTGTGACTTTGAGTTGTGTGTTTTGCAGACCAAGTACACAGATGACCTTGTGTAAGTGAGAAATATAAACCAGCCAAATCTTGTAATACTGACCCCGAGCAAACATCCTCTGCACCAGTATACTCTCCTTTCGCTCTCCTCAGGCTCCCTGCAGTCTTTTCAAACCTTTTCTCTTCTTGCTTCCTCATTATCACCCAAATTAAACTTTTCTTTCCTGTCATCTACAGTTGTGGAGCCAGAATGTGACAAAAGCTCGGCTACGACCTACTTCTGGTACCGGCAGACTCTGAACACGACCAGCACCATCGCAGAGAGCGGCGGCCTCAACATCAAAATGACCCTGTCTCTGCTGGTAGCCTGGATCATTGTCTGCCTCGCCGTCATTAAAGGAATCGCTTCCTCTGGGAAGGTTGGGAAACCATGACACAGAAACATTTAGGAGAAAAGTGTGGAGGCTTGTTTTTTGCTGAATTGATGTCTTTTTCTTTTGCACCTGTACAGGTGATGTACTTCAGTTCTCTTTTCCCCTACGTGGTGCTGTTCTGTTTCCTGGTCAGGGGTTTAATGCTGAAGGGCTCAGTAGATGGTATCGCTCACATGTTCACTCCCAAGGTTAGGATGGAAGAGTCATTGTTCCTCACCTCTGTTTTTTCAACCATGCATGCTAACAAAAGCCTCTCCTCACATCTCAGTTGGAGAAGATGCTGGAGCCGCAGGTGTGGAGGGAGGCCGCCACCCAGGTCTTCTTTGCCCTCGGTCTGGGTTTTGGAGGAGTCATTGCCTTCTCCAGTTACAATAAGATTGACAACAACTGCCACTTTGATGCCGTGCTCGTCTCTGTCATCAACTTTTTGACCTCCATTTTGGCCACACTGGTTGTGTTTGCTGTGTTGGGCTTCAAGGCAAACATCATGAATGAAAAGTGTGTTGTGGAGTAAGTTGAACACTGTTTTTTTGGGGGGGGGGGTTTTGGCAACATTGAATGTAACCCCCCAAAAAAGAAACAAAAGTCCGACAGCAAGGTTCATGAGTACTGCATATTAACCAAAAATCACACCTCAAAGTTACAATCCCCACAGTCTTTATGTTATAAACAGTGGCAGTTATCCTTATTTTCTGTCACATATATGTTGTTACAGTGATGGATCCTCATATTTTCAGATACTGTGGTCAGTGCACGTGCGAGCAGTGCTTTCGAGCCAAAAGGCCCATCTTCAGATTGTTCTGAGTTCTTAGTTTCTGATGGTGTTTTTCTGTTCGTGACTCTATCTGATGTCAAAGACGGGGAAAGTCCCCGCTTGAAGACAAGATGATTCTTCTCGAAGTTTTAGCCTCATATAATAAATGTACAAACCTGTTATTCCAACTTATATGAGGACCAGACAATCAGGGGAAAGTTGAAAATTTAATTAAATTATGATGTCTTTTGTTTTTTTAATAAATTTGAAACATGCAAGCTACTCTGGTAGAGTCCAAGAATATAAAATAATAATAATAATAATAATACATTTTATTTGAGGGCGCCTTTCAAAAACCCAAGGTCACCTTACAAAAGAACAAAATTAATAAAAGAAGCAATAGTCATAAAATACATAAAATCAGTTACAATTGCAAAGCAGAACTTGACAACAGATGAAATGAGCACTAAAGCGAATAAGCCAGTTTGAACAGAAGTTTTGAGCTGTGACTTAAATGCGGGAAGAGAGTCTATATGTCTTATGGCTGGAGGAAGAGAGTTCCAGAGCCGAGGAGCAGAGCAACTGAAAGCTCTGTTCCCCATAGTGGTGAGACGTGCGGACGGAACAGTAAGATGAATAGCAGATGAGGATCTGAGCGGGCAGGAGACAGTGGTGATATGGAGCAGGTCACACAAAATAAGGGCAGGGATAGCTCAGTGGGTAGTGTGGTCACCTCATGATCGAAAGGTTCCACTGAATGGTTACCCTGAGGTACCCCTGAGCAAGGTACCGTCCCTACACACTGCTCCCCGTGCGCCTGATTTGCGGCTGCCCACTGCTTCACTGTGTGAAGGGGTTAAATGCAGAGAGAGTAATTTCTCCACGGGGATCAATAAAGTATACATTATTATTATGTATCTGGAAATGAGCATAATTTGAACTATGGGAGGAAGCCAGAGAGCTTATTTTGAGGTCACAGCACTAACCACTGCATGAAAAATGCATGTATCCATTTACTCTTTTAAAAATACATGTTTTTGGCACATTAACAAGTTAAAACTCCGTAAATTTGTTCCAAACGCAAAGTACAGGAGTAAAAACCACAATTTTTGTTGCGCTTTTTACCTACCTAATTATTTATGAGGAAAAAAATCACATCCTTTATAAAGAATATGAGGATACCAAAGTGTAAGCTAAATAGGTCTAAATTGTCTCTATTGTGATCATTTATTAAATTACTGAGTGGTAGGTGAAATTGTAAATGGATGTTTGTATCTAATTTAAGAGACAATTTAATCTAATTTAATTTAATCTAATCTTTAAGTAATTTAACAGCAACAGTTTTTTTTTTTCAAGAAATTGTACCTTACATGGCTTTTTGTCAGAGCATCAGTCAAGCAGTGTGGCACAAAATATGTATTGGATTCATTGTGATTCTGACCTTTTCTGTCTGCAGGAATGCAGAAAAGATCCTGGGATACCTCAACTCCAACGTCCTGAGTCATGATCTTATTCCTCCACATGTGAACTTTTCCCATCTCACCACGGCGGACTACGCTGAGATGTACGGGGTCATTAAAACGGTCAAAGAGGACAGCTTTCCCCAGCTGGGTCTGGAGCCGTGTGTTCTGGAGGATGAGCTGAACAAAGTGAGCCTTTGGCACACATAACTCAGCTGAATCCACAGCATGTTCTGTGTTTCACACCTCTCAATGTCTCTCTGCAGGCTGTCCAGGGCACCGGCCTGGCCTTCATCGCCTTCACAGAAGCCATGACGCATTTCCCAGCATCTCCCTTCTGGTCAGTCATGTTCTTCTTCATGCTCATCAACCTCGGTCTGGGCAGCATGATCGGCACCATGACTGGCATCACCACACCTGTCCTTGACGCCTACAAAGTCCAGAAGGAGCTTTTTACAGGTACGCCGCTCCCCAGCACCACCGCCACACTGACTCCCTCAGCCTCTGTGCTATTAGTAGTTGAAACCCCTTGCTCAGCACTTAGAAAGGATTAAAGTACATCTGGGAATGAGCTGCATTAGTTTTTATGTGCTGTGAGCAAACTGAATGGAAAGCAGAAACAGGAAATAATAGCACTTAATGGCAAATAAAACCTTTTTAATTCTCATCTGTTTTTTCAAACTTTTTCCTAATCTTTTCTTCCAAATGAGCTCCAATTGTTTCTGTGTTTGTTTCAGTGTGTTGCTGCATCATCGCTTTCTTATGCGGCTTGTTGTTTGTTCAGCGGTCGGGAAATTACTTTGTCACCATGTTCGATGATTACTCGGCTGGTCTGCCTCTCACTGTAGTGGTCATCCTGGAAAATCTGTCTGTTGCTTGGATATATGGCACCAAAAGGTGAGGCTAACTACAAGATGCTGCTCAAAGCTGTGTATCAAACTACAAAAGTGTATCCAAGGAAAGGATCCTTACTGCAATTTGTTGTTCTTCGTCAGGTTCATGCAGGACCTGGAGGACATGTTAGGTTTCCGACCTTATATCATCTATTTCTACCTTTGGAAGTACGTCTCCCCTTTCTGTCTTATCGTTCTCATCTCGGCCACTGTCATCGAGATGGCCATCAGCCCACCAGGATACAACGCCTGGGTTCAAGAGCTGGTCAGTCTGTCTGTGTGTGTGTTTGTGCTGTTTTGGTGTAAAAGAAGTTTTCAAATGCTTCACTCAGGGAAAAGAAGCTAAAACATGACACGAAAACTGCTAAAATGTAAGCAAAATGTCCAACAGCAACAGTCGTATTTGACAAATTGTACTTCGTTTTTCACAGGATTGCATACCGTGTCTCTGTGTGAGTAAGAATAAAAAGCACAGAATAAATTCCCACCATTACACAGCCACACAGGGTGTACTTTGTAGGAGTGATTGGGGGGTTAGTTTTCACCTGGAACGTTTGAAAAGTGTTTCCTTTTCATTTCACCCCTCTGTCATTTTAGGCTCAGGAACGCTTCCAGAGCTATCCTCCCTGGGCTCTGGCCATGTGCTTCGCTCTTATCGCTGTGGCCATGCTTCCGCTCCCTGTTGTCTTCATCGCCCGACACTTCAACTTGATGTCAGATGGCTCTAACAAGCTGTCTGTCTCTTACCATAAATCTATGATGAAGGACATATCCAACCTTGAGGAGCAGGATGAGGCTAGATTCATCCTTGGAGGCAAACCAGGCGAGGCCCCATCATCAGGGCCAGCACGTAAACCCTTCCTGACACCTGGAGGAAACAAACCCATGGACTCCCTGTCTCCAAACATCTGCTATGGTACTAGCTACCAAAATGCTGCCATAAGCCCCACCACACCAACTACACCAAGCACACCTCTCACACCAGAGTCTGACTCTTGACTGTTGCCCAGCCTTGACAGACTCCCCTCTGACCACCCCTGTAGCACAACTTTACCCATGAGGTCTCCACTGGAGCTCAGCGCAGCTCCAGGAATCCTCACCACTGCCCTGCTAACGCCACAAAACTGTACGTAGCCATCCAGTTTATGAGCGCTTCCAAAATAACACGAAGGAACTTCATGAGAAGATTTCCAGAATGTTTCCAAGCATCTGGAAGTTAGAAAACAGGAAATAAGGGATGCATTTCACTGTTTTACAATAAACGAAACTCTGGAATCAGGTTGAGATTAACAGTGACACACTACATCTGTATATATTTAAAAACATCAGGTTAATGTGTTCAGAATGAAGTTCTGTGATCTGATTTTCTTTGCCTTAGTTTAAGGATCCCCTAGCAGACACCGACCCCATAGTATAAGGACAATGTCTGCACAGTGCAGGTAGTGTGAAAGAGTGAATGTAGTAGAGTTTGTGAGGTTCTGCTGGTTTCCTATGTAGCAATAATGGGTGTCAAAGCCATGTACCACTTAATACGCAGCAGGTTTTCTTTATATTAGATGTTATGCAGTCGACAAGGTGCAACTGAAAAGTTCCAAAACCATACCTGATTCAGATTTGGACAAATTGTTCTTCAAGGTCATGCTCAGCACAGCTGTGGAAAGTCCCATTTTCACTCCACAGTGTGCGCTGTGAATTCAAGTCACAACTAAACTCTACTGTAACGTCCTGAGGTGTCTGAGGAAGACATTCACAGCAAACCACCTGACCTGTGGTGTTTGCCACTGTGTGATGGCACACAAGGAATCAAAAAAAACAAAACACTCGACTCTGTATGTTTAAGAAAATGACTTTAAAGGTGAGCACTTCCAAATTAAGATCAGGTAACGTTTTTGGCCACAGACTCGCAGCTCTGTTCTGATGCCGTGAGATTTGTTTTCATAGGACTATGATTTGTAAAATATGCTAAGACGACTCTAAAGGCACCCGTTTATGTTCCAATCAGACCCCACATCCACCTCCTCCTGTAATTTGCGTGTAGAGTCTATTGTTGTTGTTCATTTTGTAAAAACAAAAAAAGGTGTAAAATCACAATGTACAGTATAGTTATAGTAATGTAACATACCTTTAGGACTCTGGGTTTTATTAACCGGGAGCTCAAACCACTGTTTCATTATCCATCACTCTCACGTCTTCGTCTCCGTGCTGTAGAAACACACTCATTTCAGTTTCTCCACCAAAGAGTTAAAAGTAAACAACAAAACACTTGAAATCTGCTCCAGAATAACAGACCTGTTACACTGGACTGCAGTGAAAGTGAACTACAACCCAAAACACAACGCGGGCACGAAGCTCGCAAACTTTGCTTTTCTCCTCCTTCAAAAAAGCACAAAGGAGATTTTGACTCACTGAGCACAAGCAGATTATTGGCTGGAATTGTCTCAAGCATTGATCCACATTTTAAAATGAACTCCTGCCGAGACATATGGGACACACAGCAATATATATTTATATTGGCGCACAAACTGTGTTAACTTTGAACAAAAAAAATGAACTTAAAATAAGAAAAATAGCTACGGACCAAAAGATTAAAAAGCAAAAATTCCAATTCTGTGAACTTATCAGCCGACCTGATAGTGTGCACCTTTGAAAGCCTTAGACTCCTCATGCACAGACAGAAGTACACATGCACACACATACACACTGCTCTCTGTGTTACAGGGCCTGCCGTGGCGCAGCAGGGATTACGGTGATGGTCGCTGACTTGAGTTGAAACTGAGCACATTTAAATTCCTATTTAAAGGAATCTTTAATTTATTTTTTTAATCACAATATTTACAGCCATGGTGTTTAGGTATAAATGGACTATTTATATTCCTGTATATTTGCTGTTACGTAGGCGTGATGAATTACAAAGATTTATCTTTTACAAGCGTTTAGTATGTATACTGTGTATTTTAATCTTGTGTGACGCTTATTGAGTCTGTACATTTTAGAACTGTTCTGTAGTTTGTGGAGCTGATCGTGGACATGAAAATGATGCTGCACTGTGGAGCTGATGTACGGTCTTGTTTAGTCGTGTGTGTGTCCACTTCCGGTTTAGTGGTCTAATCGTTCACCGAAAGATGCTCTCAAAATGTCCTGTTAGCCAACAGGTTCATGAAAGGCTGTCTCTAAAATATGTTTAGCGTAGATGACACAGCATGCTAACATCCTGAGCAGATATCTTTCCAGATGTATACAAAACTTGCACGCACTTTTTTTTTTTAGGTTGAACCACTCTGAGGTCACCCATTGATTTTGGACTTTGTTCAACTTTTTAATCCTCGGGTATTTGGACAAGAGGGTGGCATGCTAAGTTATAAGCTAAAGTTAGCAAGCTTGCTACTAAGCTGCATTCATAATCTGTACAGCTTCAATGCACAATAATAAACACCTGCTAATAAAGCTCAACAACAAGGTTCCAGAAAGTAAATTTCTCCACAGGGATTTTAATTATGAGCTATAATGTTTTAGCCGTCTAAAGTAGACTCACTACGAGCTACGACATAATCAAACAATAGTGCGACAATTAGTGATGTGCGGATCGATACTGAAATATCGATTCCTCCGATACCAGTCATTTATGTTCTAGAATCGATTCTCACATTAAAATATTGATATTTTAGTAATTTAGGGTAAATTTGTAGTTTATCATTAACAGAAACACAGTGGAAATAACCTATTTCATTCGGATTGTCTACACTTGGAAGGAACTACTTCCTCTTCCATTCAAATAGCGCACAACTTCAGGTTTTTTATTTCTATATGATGAACTCTGCATTATTAAGTGATAAGAACAAGTAATCTGATGTCCTGTAATCATTATGACACTATAATTTGAGATACAATAAATAAAATACGTTTTTGTACAAGGTATCGGTATCAGATCAGTATCGTCGATACCACCCTGAATTTTACTTGGTATCGGATTGGAAAGGAAATCAGTGGAATCGCACATCACTAGCGACAATCTGCTCCTGTGGAGACCAAAGAGTCTGCATGAGATGGAAAAGAACTACACTACCCACAATCCTAAATTGAAAAAGTGACATCTCTGATTATGGAGGTTGTTGTTATCCAGATATATTAGATTAAAAAACATGTAGCCAGCACAGAGTCAATAAAAGGGAAATTTATCCATAGAAGCAAAGAACATTTTTCATTTTTAGTGCTTCAAAGGTTAGCATCTTAACATGGGAGCCTATCCGGTTGTTCAGTGATGACGCGACGAATCCTACTTCCGGGTCTAAAGTAGTCTGCGTTTAATATGGATTTTGTGTTGTTAACATGTTTAATGTTATGTATTTTCTTATATTTGATCTCAAAAAGCTCCTAAAACAGTCAGTGATCACTGCTGACCTCCCTCGGCTTTTATTACCACTAATCATTTATTTAAGCTCAGTTTTTAAAACGTTAGGATGTAACTACAGCCCAGCCCATGCAGCAGTATATGAATGACTAACCTCGTATTGTGGATGGATTATCTCAGTTGTTCTCCTGGCTGAAGTTTTGTCCTTTTACAGCATCCTGCCATGCGATTACATTTGTTCCTGACCACCGAAAACACTCACGTTAACTTTTATCGAGTGGAAAAAAAGTTAGCTTGTTCATATTATGCTAGCATAGCTGTGTCGCTAGCGGTCACGTAGCACATCATTATATACCAGCTAGCCAAACTTCAGTAACCCTACAAACGTCACTGCTGTTTAGTTTTCTGTCTTCATTTATGCTGGAAGTGATAGCAGAGCTGTACGTTTTAATTTGTTTCCAAAACCCCGCAGTCAGGACATGCTATATTGTATTTAGATAGAAGCTAGCGAGCTAACTTCCTGCTAACTTCTAACTCGTTAAATGTCATAAATTCCATTTTCATGGATGCCTGGATGTTAAGCTCAATTGTTACACCTGGTAGAGCAGAACGCTGATCATTTTATTAAAGATGAAAGACTTTAGACTGTTTTTCCAACTCTCAGTAATGCCATAGTGATCGTTGGATATATGGACCTGCAGCGGAGTTTAGACCCAGACACGGCTAGTGACGTCAGACTGAACAACCGGATAGGGATTGACTCACTTTTGGAGCCAGCCTCAAGTGGCCACCAGAGGAACTGCAATCCTGGAGGTTGCTGCTTGGGTGGTCCACACCTTTGCAAATTTATTTAGGGGCAGGTGAAAAATTGCTGATTCAAAAACACAGCATCCAACAAGAAGCAAGATGACTGTTATCAGCGTCCTCCAAAGCATCTCCATCGACATCATTAAAATAAGGTGTCGTTCATACAGAGTAACGCAACAGGCATCACTGGGTTTTTTATGCACTCAGAAGTAACATTGATGAAATACTCACTTCTGCCCACATCAGAGACAGACAAACACTTTACTGGAAAAATCATATATATATATTTACTGGATGCAATCTTTTGCATCCAGTTTGGGGGGAAAAACACAGACACATGTATCAGGAATATGCTGGGGGGGGTTTTCAACTGCTCTATATGTGGAAAAATACAGTTTCCTTTAACAGTGTAAGGATTCAGAAATGAATGTAACACGGTAGGTTTGATCCACAAAGTGGGATTTTTCTTTCTGTTTGATTGGTTTTGTTTTTCTCTCTGAATCAAACATTTTCAGCTTCCAAGCACATTTTTCATCCAAGTTTGCATGGAGAGACCTGAGCAAAGGATTTGGCTAATCCTCCTTTGGCAATGTTTTCGCCCCCTGGTGGTAGCTCTATGAACAGCAAGTTGTCACAGTCCATTCAGGAATTAGTTTTCTGCTGTGTAATGAGTGGATCACTAGTGTGGTTACAGATGTTTTGTGTTTGGTGTGTGAGCCGTTTTAGTGTAAGAGTGTATCACGCAGACATCTCTGGTGTGTTCATGTCTGTAAATAATGTTATGTAACCAAACTATTCTGGAGACAGATTTTATTAACGTGATGTAGATTAATGTCTTAAAAGTTTTAGCAGTAAGTATAACAAAAGTTAGAAATGAATGTGATCAATGCACTTTTTTCACAAGACTGCAAAAAGCTAACGTCTGTTTTCGTTGTCTTGTTTCCAGTACATTTAAAATTTGATGAAAAGCAATATGATGTTATTTAAATGACAGAATAACTGTGGCTGAAAGCAAATCCTGTCTGTGAAAAACAATCCTTAGAAATAACCCCCAACACTGGTGTGTGCACATGTGTGTGTGTGTGTGAGATGTGAGTTTGGCTTGGTGTGTGCAAAGCCTTAGTGAGCACACACTTCAAACAGGAGACACATGTCCCTTTACAGCTTCCCTCTCTTTCCTCTTTCATTTTATGAATGTATCATACTGAGAAATACTGTAAAAATTGTGACCATAAAAAAATTATTCTAATAAAGAGTGGACAAGCTGCTGTGACGTTTCTGAACTTTTTTGGTTTAAATTCATTCTCGGTCAAAGTAAACATGATTTATCAGATGTTGGTGGTGATCGATACATCAGCCAGTACTATTTTCTAGAGTACTATTTTCAGTGTCGGCATTTATTACAGCCGATAAATGAACATTTTAAAAGTGAAGAAGAGACGACCTGCAATGCTGGGAGTGTTGATGTTACATAGTTTGTTTCGACTCTTCAACTTCCCTGTTGGCAACACGTGTCTGGAACATAAACGCGACTACAGATCAGAGCAGAGTCGGGTGTAAATGAGTTATCCACAAGTATTTTTAAACTGTATTGCTTTATTATGTTAGTAAGCACTCATATATAACTAGACATAACAAATGTTAGGGAGATCTGTCTGTTTAAATATAGTTTTTTAAACCGATTTTTTAAACCGCCGCATATCGGTATCTATATCGGCCTTAAAAATCCCATATCAGTCGTACTCTAGCTGAGATCACATGACTGACACAGCCAGTCCTCATTTATTTATTTGGGGCGACCGTGGCTTGGGCAAGACACTTTACCCTACCGCCTACTGGTGTTGGCCAGAGGGGCCGATGGCGCGATATGGCAGCCTCGCTTCTGTCAGTCTGCCCCAGGGCAGCCACCAGTGTGTGAATGAATAGTGGTATTCTAAAGCGCTTTGGGTGCCTTGAAAAGTGCTATATAAATCCAATCTATTATTATTTCTTTGCCTTTTGGGTTGCTTGAACATTATGTTTTGGGTCATTATCCATTCACACTGTGAAGCGATTGTCTCAATAATACGCACAGAGAGTATAGCCCTGTACACTTCAGGACTCATCCTGCTGCTTCCATCAGCACTCACATCATCAACCATCAAGTAACCAGGTTCAACTGGTAGAATCGATATATAAAGCACTGTTTTTAGAGTCAGAGCCTTTTAAATAATCACCATAGACTTTAAAACACAACACACAGTTTTAATATGCAGAATTAGCAATTAATAAAAAGATAAGGACCAAACAGTCTATTCTTCCTATTCTGCCATACCGAGCAGAACAGGAAGATTAGACAATGAGTTCAAATGCAGACTAATGACAATCTCCTCGAGACTCTCACCAACCAGCACTGCAATATCAAATCTACACAATTTCCCTGCCTGCTAGAATAAATTATCTCCCTTTAACCACACTGTTAAATCCATCATCCTTAATCAAACATGCATTTTAAATACAGAGTACTTGAGTAAAGCTGGACCAACAGAGGATTATTAAGACCAGCACCAATATCTGGTGATTTATAAGTCCAATATATCAGCTAATGCATTAGACAGATTTCCAAAACGTTTGTTATGTGGACGTATTTATGAGCCTTACTGAGATAATATATGGCAATGCAGTTTAAATAAATCTTGTTTTATTGTGTCAACAGGTCATAGATGACTAATTTATTACTAATTTCCCACTGAGTGTTCTGGTGTTACCAACAGGGAAGAGCTCAGAGGGCCCTCTGGTAAGCAAACTATGTTACATCAACAATCATAACACAGTTCAGGGGTGTTTCTCCCACCCTGAAGTGGGCAATCAAGAGAGACGGCCTCTATTTTTATTCATTTTCTTAATTAGAAAAATATTTCAGGATTCATTTAATTACATTTCTATTTGTCCACTTGTTTATTTAGTTCTTTAATATTGACTTGACTGAAATTCCATACAAGGCTATTAGGCAAACCGCAGACACATGGCGCCCTCTTCTGGACACAGTAATTTCACAAAGCAATGTTAAATAGAAACAGAATATACATATATACCCTCAACTATATGTACTTGCTAAATCCTGCCTTCGGAGGTTACGTAGAAACAAGACATTCTTCTACATTCAGCACTCTGTCCACAGTAAAACATGTCCAGCATGAATAAAAACGCAATTTTATACTATTGAATTTATACAAACTTACACATATAGGCAATTTGGGCTTCATATACTGCAGAGTTATCAACCACCCCACACATCATAGGAAACAGACATGTCAGTGCACTGTGCAATCTATACAGCAATCTATACATATTATTTTTAATTTCCCTTTAAGTAGAAAGAAGCTGTTTGCAGTCCTCTTCAGTTCTTTTACAGTTGGCTCTGTCTCAGATCACAGATCCTGATGCAACATTTCTCTCCGAGCCAGAATCCGGGATACAGCGGCTCTCTGAACTCGGCTTCAACCTTGTACAGGAAGTTCATACTGTCCGACACCTCATAGAAAGACAAAGTTCCGGTTTGAAATTTAAGATAAATTCCAACCCTGTGATGACGGGGTGGTGTAGTGAGCTGGATGCTGTCAGAATTGTGGCTCACAGAGTAATGTTTAGATAGATCCAGACTCCAGGAATTTGCATTGGCCCCGAAGGCTGACAGTGTAGTGCGGGATTTTCTGTTTATTCCTTTGTAGGTTAGAGCGATCTCTGCTTTGTCTCCTTTCACCTCTACCTCATAGTAGCAGTCAGCTTGCAGTCCCTCCCTGCACAGCACCTGCCGCCGATGTATAAACCTCTCTGGGTTACGAACACTAGGATTCTTGGACCTCTCATTGCACAGCTTAACCATCTTCCCTCCTTTCAAAATAACCAGGTCCTCATGAGCTGTCGTGGGGTCCAGAGAGAGCTTACACGCATCTGAGATAATGAAGAGAACATTTAAGGACTGAATTCTAAGAAGACAGCTGTGGTTGGATGAGTCTGTGTGTGGGTAAAGTCATGGTGAATGCAGGTTGGAAGATAAACTTACATTGCAGGAACTCTTCTCTGGTTTTAGGCTCAACTTTCTGTTTAGCCAGAGGCCTGCTAGCTGTAAAGAGACACGGGAGACGACATCAGAGCATCAGTGAGCGTCTCTGCTGCATCATTAAACAATACAGGGACCCTGAAACTGGCCTGTAAGTACAAGTTATTCAGATGTGTCACCATTTTGCCAAGGTCTGGAAGCAGACTCAAACTTTGACCCTCAGATGAGAGGACATGTTTAAGGATGTTGAGGAACAACCCAGGAACCACCGACTCAAACCTGCCATTAACTGTGAACTGCCAGCACCCCTGTCCAAGGTGAAATGATTTTTACACTGGCATGTAGAAGGGTGCCATACAAGAAAGAAGACCCTGCTCCACGTTCAAGCTGGACTAAAATTTGCTGCTGCTCACATGGACAAGTTTTATAGTCAGACAAGATAAAGACTTTTTTGGCCACAATGACATGAGGTGTATCTGGAGGAATAGTGGTGAGGCTTTTAAACCGAAGAACACTGTACCATCTCCAAATCATGCTCTGGGCTATTTTTAGCAGTGGTACTGGTATCAGGCACTCCATGAATTACGGGTCGAAAGCTTCATTCAGCGCTATGAATTGAATTATCGTGATTGACATGTAGAAGTGCAGAGGGTTTTGCAAAGCATGCTTACACATCATAACTGGTTAGAAGTCCAGATTATATTTTCTGGGCCAAGGGAGTCCGAACAGAATGTCCCGAACTTAGATAATAAGTGGAATCAGTAGCCTTAGGATTGCTAGGTTATATTAAAAATCAAGGCTAGGCAGGGAGGTGTTTTCTTTCTGTCTTATTTTTCCAGGAAGAGGAGAAGATACAAGACGAGGTCAGCTGGGAACAAAGAGAGGAGAAGAGTCGCAGGACTGCCACGTCGCTTCCGCTTTCATAATAATACGTGTTTTTGTTGTAGTATAAAACTGGACTGCCCACTCTGAGAGTCATCCTCTGTGTGAAGCAGATGGCTGAGTTCACATCAAAGTCCAGTGCTGTAAACTTGTAATTTCAACTGCTGAAGCAAATAAAACCTTTTAAACGACAGATGTTCTCCTGTATAAACGTGTCACTGGTACATCATAAAATGGATGGAATAAGGAGCAGGACTACCTGCAAATTCTTCAACTTATCCATCCATCCATCCATCCATCCATCCGTCTTCATCCGCTTTATCCGGGGCCGGGTCGCGGGGGCAGCAGCCTAAGCAAAGAGGCCCAGACCTCCCTCTCCCCAGCCACCTCCTCCAGCTTATCCGGGGGAATACCAAGGCGTTCCCAGGCCAGCCGAGAGATATAATCTCTCCAGCGTGTCCTGGGTCTGCCCCGGGGCCTCCTCCCGGTGGGACATGCCTGGAACCCTCTCGTCCACCGGGAAAAACCCCAACGTACCGGCAGCAAGCCGAGGGGATATTAGAATACCCACCCCAGCCCGTCGCCTCTCACCAGGGGCAACTCCAGACTGAGACAGAGTCCAGCCCCTCTCCAGGAGACTGGTTCCAGAGCCCAAGCCATGTGTAGAGGTGAGCCCGACTATATCTAGCCGGTACCTCTCAACCTCACGCACTAACTCAGGCTCCTTTCCCACCAGAGAGGTGACATTCCATGTCCCTATTGCCAGTCTTGGCAGCCGGGGATCAGTGCGCCAGGGCCTCCGCTCCTGGCCGCCACCCGGCACACAATGCACCTGACCCCTATGGCGCCTCCTGCGGGTGGTGGGCCTGCGGGAGGATGGGCCCATGTCTCCTCTTCGGGCTGTGCCCGGCCGGGCCCCATGGACTAAGGCCCGGCCACCAGACGTTCGCCCTCGGGCACCCTCCTGGCCTGGCTCCAGGGCGGGGCCCCGGTAACCCTATCCCGGGCAGGGTAAACTGTTCCCTCGGTGTCCTTTTCATAAGGGTCTTCTTCAACCTAATGTCAAATAATCTGGACAATGCGGACACAGCTGGTTTTGGAATGGATGAAGGAGGCTCACAGTAACAGGACATTTAACAAAATATTATTGGGGGCTGGTTAATATATTTGAGGCTGTATGTATACTTTTGACTCTGTGTGAATTAAAGAAATCCAAAATATATTCAAACTTCTCTCTTCGATTCTTGTTTCTCAAAGCCATTAAAGATGTGTGCTGAACAACAGTTTAAAGAAACCATTAAAAACCCAAAATTAGCATGACGGTCATATCCATGATGACGAGTGGGTGTAAACTTCTGACCACAATTGTAAGATAATATTAAAATTGTTCTGGAAACTGTTTGAAGGACAAACCATGGAGCTGTGAGACGCTGGCTTCACTTCTTCGCTGGACATCATCTTCCTCCATCTCTGATGCTGATTCCTGCTGCTCCTCACCATCAGCTGTCATACGCAAGGACATAGATATTCTTACATTCTTATAATTAAAGAGAGATGTTTTCCACATAACGACACATACCAGTGTTACAGATTGAGGCAAATTCTTTGTCACAGAATCCCTCCAGTTGCTTCCCAAGATGCTCAACGGCTCTCTTTGTGAGCTCAAAGTGGAGGAGTGGATCCTCTGAAAGCTCCTGGAACGAGGGGTCACAGAGGAGCTTCAGAGAGGGCCATTTCTGTGAGGATGGAGGGGAGAAGTTCAGGATACGACCCGTCACTCAGAAACAGGCAACGTTTCCAGCGCTGTGTTGGGAGTATACCTGCAGGAAACGGATGTGGCTCTCAGTCTGTGCCAGGTGGTCCAGCTTAGCATCCCTCTCCTTCATCTGCTTCACCTCCTCCTCCAGGCTCTTCAGCGAGATGCGAACCTGAGCTGCAGCCGCCTCCTCCTGAGCTGCAATCACTTCCTTCACTGACAGGTAATGTTTCTGAAGGGAGTCGATGGCGCCCACTATGACGCTCTCACAGAAGGCTTCTGTTTTTCTCGCCTCGTCCTGTTTGATACACATGTGAGTGGGTGACACACTACAAACACTTCAGACAACATAACTTTTTGGTCACATGTTCCCCTCACCTGAATCTGTCCGAGCATCTCCCCCATCATCTCTCTTTTCCTTTCTTGCTTCTGAAGAGTCTGCTTGAACTTTGTCTGCATGTCCTTAAGTTCCTTCTTCAGAATGTGTTAGTTGGAAGCAAACACATAATTTGTTTAGATTTTGTTAGTTTTTTCCTGGATGGCACTTTTTACATTTGTATGAATCAAATGCATCTTTGTCTAAAACTGGGTCGATGCTGTAAGTCATTTGAATGTTTTGTAAGGCTGTCCCAGTACTCAGGAATGATTTGTTTAACCAAATAAAGTGGAAATGTCACCTGTCTGAAATACAGACAGCCCATCTACTTTTAAAATTAGGCTTAAAACGTCCCTTGTTGATAAGGGATTATCAATAGATTTGGATCAGATAACCATGAATCTTCCTTTAGTTATTCTGCAGTCGGTCTGTTCTACTGGGGGCTTCCAATAATACACCGTGTTTCTTTTTCACTCACTATGTGTTTATACACCATCCTGCATTTAATAATTATAATAGTTATCATCAGCCTCTGTTTTCGTTCCACAGGGTGTCTGTTCTCCGGTTTTCCTCCCCTCACTTCCAATCGAAACTTAGTTTCAGCAATTATTCATTTTTTTAGGCTTATGTTGAAGTTTGAATCGTCGATCTGTGTGCCTTAGATGCAGCGTGCACTTTGCTTTCATCTCAGTTACATGGCTAAAATCATTGTACATATATATAAATCACAAGATATGCAAAAGTTTCCAAATATCCACCAGGATATAAAACATTGTCAGCAATCTTGAAGTTGCAGGAAATCACGAGCAATTGGTTAATGACAGTTTCCTGGATTTACCCAAAGAGAAAACATGTTCTTGTAATATTTTTGTTATAGTCAGCTATGTCGCTGCATTGTCGTTTCAAAACTAAATCTGGAGTTGGAAATATTACAGTTTTTTCTGAATGCTTAAACCCTAACTGTGATTCCTGTAGCACAATCTCTAAAACTATTCAGACTTATAGCAAAACCACTCACTGAGTTTGCAAAACTAAAAGCACAAAAACTGCTTTGCACTCAGTTTGCAATTTTGTAACACACACTTTGCAAAACTGTAGGCACAATTCACTGCACAACACTCAATTACCAAATTTCCAACACACTCCTAGCAAAAGTATACACATGTATGGCTATCATTAACACTAATTTGCCAACTGTCTGGCACACTTTCACATGTGAAAACTTTTTTAGATAATTAGTTCACTTTGCAATCAGCCTAAGCACTATAATACAGGTAAGCTGTGTGTGCGGAGTACAATGGAGGGAGCAGAAAGAGTGAGAAGTAGAGGAGGCCGAGGAAGAGGACGTGGAGGTGAAGAAGTAGGATGAAGAGGACGACAAGGACAAGGAGGAGCAAGAGGAAGACGAGGAGGGGGGAGAGGAAGATGAGGAGGGGGGAGAGGAAGGGTGGGAAGAGTAAGAAATAGAATTGCTGATGACATCAGAGCTACAATAGTGGACCATGTAATCAACCGTGGAATGACCCTGAGGGTAGCTGGCCAACGGCTCCAGCCTAACTCGAGCCGCTACACTGTAGCAAGCACCATAAGGACATCTTGAAATGAGAATCGGTTAGCACAGTCACTTCGCACAAAGATTTGTAGCACTGCCATATGCCAATGAGAAACACACCAATACCATTGATGTAAAAATACTGAAATTGTTACTTTACAGAATTGCTAGATGACCAGATGCTGGGGGCAGAGGAAGCATGTTCACTGCAGACCAAGTAACCCATATAGTCATTATGGCGATTGCAAATAATCCTATACTTGGAAATAAACACTTGTGTTTGTTTTGATGTGTTTGACTAAACACCAGTACTTGAAGTTTGGATCCCTCTATGCTTATGGATCTATGACAGCAGTATGAGCTCAAACTGACATAGCCTACCTTGTGCACAGAGAAAGCAAAAGCCAGATGTGTTTTGTATTCATACCATCAGTGTGCAGTTGGCGCATTGTGTGCTTAGTAGATGATGGCTTGTGTGTACTGTTTGATACGGAAACACCATTTTTACGAAGGTGTGAAGGGTTAATCTAGCTGTGTTTGCTTTTGCAAGAGAACTACAATGTTTTGATGATTGGGTGACAGGTTTTCTTATTTGTGTGAAGAGTTTTGCAAAATTAGCCAATAGTTACAAAAAATGTGCTTAAGCAATCAGAAAAAACTGTAAGTGCTAGAAGGTCTAGTATTATGCCATAAGACTGCATGAATTGACTCCTGGGCTAATTCACCAAAAGCTTTCCAGGAGATTCTTCCTTCAGTTTCTTCTTCCTGCAAATTTGAGCTTTCAAGTAGGAGTTGCACCTTTTTTTAAAATCTTGTTTTACAGTTTTTTCTGATTGCTTAAGCACATTTTTTGTAACTATTGGCTAATTTTGCAAAACTCTTCACACAAATAAGAAAACCTGTCACCCAGTAATCAAAACATTGTAGTTCTCTTGCAAAAGCAAACACAGCTAGATTAACTCTTCACACCTTCGTAAAAATGGTGTTTCCGTATCAAACAGTACACACAAGCCATCATCTACTAAGCACACAATGCGCCAACTGCACACTGATGGTATGAATACAAAACACATCTGGCTTTTGCTTTCTCTGTGCACAAGGTAGGCTATGTCAGTTTGAGCTCATACTTCTGTCATAGATCCATAAGCATAGAGGGATCCAAACTTCAAGTACTGGTGTTTATTCAAACACATCAAAACAAACACAAGTGTTTATTTCCAAGTATAGGATTATTTGCAATCGCCATAATGACTATATGGTAAATGGCCTGTATTTATATAGCGCTTTACTAGTCCCTAAGGACCCCAAAGCGCTTTACATATCCAGTCATCCACCCATTCACGCACACATTCACACACTGGTGATGGCAAGCTACATTGTAGCCACAGCCACCCTGGGGCGCACTGACAGAGGCGAGGCTGCCGGACACTGGCGCCACCGGGCCCTCTGACCACCACCAGTAGGCAACGGGTGAAGTGTCTTGCCCAAGGACACAACGACCGAGACTGTCCAAGCCGGGGCTCGAACCGGCAACCTTCTGATTACAAGGCGAACTCCCAACTCTTGAGCCACGATCGCCAAATTTCCAACACACGATATGGGTTACTTGGTCTGCAGTGAACATGCTTCCTCTGCCCCCAGCATCTGGTCATCTAGCAATTCTGTAAAGTAACAACTTCAGTATTTTTACATCAGTGGTATTGGTGTGTTTCTCATTGGCATATGGCAGTGCTACAAATCTTTGTGCGAAGTGACTGTGCTAACCGATTCTCATTTCAAGATGTCCTTATGGTGCTTGCTACAGTGTAGCGGCTCGAGTTAGGCTGGAGCCGTTGGCCAGCTACCCTCAGGGTCATTCCATGGTTGATTACATGGTCCACTATTGTAGCTCTGATGTCATCAGCAATTCTATTTCTTACTCTTCCTACCCTTCCTCTCCCCCCTCCTCATCTTCCTCTTGCTCCTCCTTGTCCTTGTCGTCCTCTTCATCCTACTTCTTCACCTCCACGTCCTCTTCCTCGGCCTCCTCTACTTCTCACTCTTTCTGCTCCCTCCATTGTACTCCGCACACACAGCTTACCTGTATTATAGTGCTTAGGCTGATTGCAAAGTGAACTAATTATCTAAAAAAGTTTTCACATGTGAAAGTGTGCCAGACAGTTGGCAAATTAGTTTTAATGATAGCCATACATGTGTATACTTTTGCTAGGAGTGTGTTGGAAATTTGGTAATTGAGTGTTGTGCAGTGAATTGTGCCTACAGTTTTGCAAAGTGTGTGTTACAAAATTGCAAACTGAGTGCAAAGCAGTTTTTGTGCTTTTAGTTTTGCAAACTCAGTGAGTGGTTTTGCTATAAGTCTGAATAGTTTTAGAGATTGTGCTACAGGAATCACAGTTAGGGTTTAAGCATTCAGAAAAAACTGTAAGTACCTCCTTCCGCCTCCGTTCCTCCTTCACCAACCCGATCCTGTGTCCTCCATGCTCAGCTGAAGCACACTGTGCACATATGATCTGCTTATCTGTGCAGCAGTAAACCTCCAGGGGCTTGTTGTGTTTTCCACACAAAGTGCTCTCTGATGTTTCTGCACAGCTCCGGGGTCTCTTCAGGACTTTCCGATTCCCTTCTGAGGACTGCTGCTCTGTATTACAACTCATTTCTGTCTCTCTCACCACCTCAGCTAGAGTTGTGTTCTTGATCAGCTGAGGTCTGGATGGAAACTCATATTTACATTCGGGGCACCTGCAGAGACTGTTCCTCAGCTGGTCACAATCCCATTGGTCCTGGATGCAGCGCATGCAAAAGTTGTGTCCGCAAGGAATCATCACAGGATTCCTGAGAAGGTTTCTGCAAATTTGACAGCAGAGGTGGTTCATCTTCGCAGGAATGTTACGCTCCGCCATGTCTCTGTGGTAAAAAGGCGGGCTGTCACAAGTTTCGTTTCGTTTCCTGCACAAATGACTCACAAGTGTGTGTTTGTGTGTGGGAGTGACTAAATCTTTTGAAATTCTTGTAAAAAGGAAGGCGGAGTCTGTGTCTCCTCCACACTGGCTGTTTGAATCTCAAAGACCAGACAAATGTAAACAACAACCTTCAGAAAGGACAAATAAATCCAACATGAATGTCTTTATTACAGTATTTAGGTAAACATAAAACAAAGAAAAGCAGTGATAAATAAGCTTTGTAATTTACATGTACTTTCATTTCCTGAATGTTTAAATAAAACAAAGAAACTCATATCTGAAAAAGATGTAGAAGTATAACAGTTCTGTAACTGGCAATTTAAATTCAGTTGTACCCTTCTGTTCAAAAACAGCCGTCTGATGAATAAAACCAGGCAACAAGAACCACATTTATGAGACCAGAAACACTCTTTTCTTTCACAAGATCCAACACACACAGTGCAGGTGTGTGCACAACAAAGAAGACGAAGATGCTGACGAGCTTCTTGTTTGTTTGTTTTTTGTCTAGACTGGGATTTTAATGTCCATTCAGCCTCATTGATGGTCCCAGAGCAAAAGCACTTAGTCAGGTAAAACAGATATGATATCATCCTGAAAATCCAGCAGGGCAACAAAAAGGTCCAACTGTTAAAGGAGCAATGATCCGACTATCATGAGTGTACATAAAGAAATCCTGACCTTTCCTTCAGTCTCTCTGAAGATGATGAACTCGTGAGATGGAACGAGGAATGTTTTATTCATGTATTCACTGTGCTGAGCCTGGCCTAACACGTAATACCTAAAATGAATACTCTATTTAAACTTAAAAGTGAAAGTGTGGTCATGTAGTGCTTCCTGGTGAGTTGCGAACCTACAGTAGCAGGTAAGAGGCACACAGAGGAAATATCTGTAATGTAAAGAAGGAGCAGAGTTCAAGTCCGCAAATGGAGTTTTAGCACTGAGGTCATTATCAGCTATTTCATTAAAAAACTGGGAACGAGGCAAGAGAAGTCTCGGAGAACCTAAGTACAAAAGGATGATCTTTTTTTGGCTAAAAACTACACAGAAATCATAACAATGCAAAATTTCTCAAAAGGCAAAAGTTCAAACACCAAAAGCATTTAGCAGGACCCCCGACAACACTCCTCCGTGCTGGAAACTGAGAATAAAATCCATCCGTCACCTTCAGTCTATACAGAATGTGTAGCATACTGTTCTGTTCAGAGAAGAGTTCTGTTGATCAGTGAGAGCACTGGTGGTGCTTCATCTGAACACCTGACTGAAACTGTTTAAAAAACAAAAAAAACAAGAATAAACGACAAGAATGTTGACGGTGGTCGAGTCTCACTGTAGCAGTTCTTCCCAGGAAATAGGTTTGGAGAAGACTTCCCTCTCCAGCCAAAGGTCGTAGTTCATTTGGAAGTCCTCGGGCAGGTCCACTCGTTGGCCCAGAACACTTTGCAGACAGTTGTCCACAGGCAGGAAGTCGGGATTGCTGTGGCTCTTGTCGTAGCGGCGGCTGTTGAAGCGCTCGATGTTGGCTCGTAGAGCGCACTCCTCGGCCTGGAAGTCCCACGGACGAGCGTCCAGATCTGCTCACACAAAACAAACAGTAACTGTAAGTTAGTGGATTTTGTCTGCTCTGAGCGTAACAGCAATCTGCAGCAGCCCACAAATCCTGATCTCCATTAGGACATAAAAACAAAACAGCAGGTTTGTCTCAAAAAGGCGACAAACACATGAAACATTCATGCAGCGAACAGACGACTGGTCTGAGAAACACGAAACACTTTGAATGTGCAGCTCATCTTTCACTCACACACCAGCTGTCTCACCTCAGGCAGTCTGCGGCACTTTTCCCAACTCATGACATTTATTAAATGCACACTCACCGGCCACTTTATTTGCTGTCTAACAGCTCGTTAACCCACATCTAATCAGCCAATCACGTGGCAGGGTTTACAGAGAATGGTCCAAAAAAAAGGAGAAAATCTCCAGTGAGCAGCAGTTCTCTTAGAGGTCAGAGGTCAAAGAAGAATGGCCAGACTTCTTTGAGCTCATAGAAAGGCAACAGTGACTCAAGTAACCCCTCATGACAGCCAAGGTATGCAGAAGAGCTTCCAGGTTTGACTGGTTCTCTGAATATAAAAAGGATTTTATGGTGTTCAAATATCACCTGCTCCCCACTTTTTCTAGAATGATACTTGAATAATGCTGTCCTATGTTTGTGTGTAGTGTTGTATATTCTGCACGAAAGCTGTTCAGATTTTCCTCTCACCGTTTCCGTACGCCCAGTCGTCATTCAGGCGATGTCGGACCTTCTGGTAGATGGCAGACATGGTCTTCATGTTGCTCTTCCTCCACTGACGTCCGAGGTATTTTGTTTGCACTTTGAGCAGCTTGAGGACATACAGCTGCATCATTGCCTGCTTGACCTTCAGCGCCCTTTTCAGGATGGGTGCCGACTTAAACACGACCAGCATCTGGCAGAAAATGTCAAGGAAAAAAAAAAAGAATCAAAGCAGAGAGTTATATCCTGTCTTTTCATACGTGATTCGTGTGTCACAGCAAATGTGACGTGACGTCCTCTCACCATTGTTCTGGAGTGCTTCCATTTGGTCAGTTTGTTGAGGATCCTCAGCAGGTTAATACAGGAAAACAGATTCCTCCAGCAAAACTGATTGTTGTCTCCCGCTTCCTGTAACAAAGAAATCGTCCACAGTAAACATCCAAATCCTACAGTCACGTGTCAACAACAACAAAACAACAGAAACAAGGGGGGTAAAATTACCAAACTCTCTGCGGTTAACTCTGGGAGCTCGTGCACCACACAGTACGGAAAGTCGAGTACTGAAATGCTTTGAGGAAGAAAAAAGTAAAGTCAATGCAGTGAAATACAGAGCCATGTACATTTAGTTTATTGATGCGCACTGCAAACAGGAATCATGACTTTGTTATGTAACGCCACACTGAAAGTACCTGTTCTTAGCTGTGATGTAAGACATGATGTTCTGGTTGAAGAACTTGAGAATGAGGGGGATGCAGTTGGCAAACACCAAGTGCTGAGCCATGTACTCAAACTATGAACACCAACCACACACACAGAGGGACAGCAGTTACACAAGGATTCGTTTTTATATCAGTACGTGTATGTAGTTTGTATTTTGGTTACTACTGAACTCACGATTAACACAACAACTGTTCAACTCTGAAAATAATCTAGGATTTATTTAAGTTTAAGAAAAGAAGAAACTCGCCTTTTATATTTAAGTGGATTTTTAAGACTATTTTTTAACCCAATTCCCTGTTTTAAAACTTAATAAAAACAGAATGCAATGACCCAAAAACCTCATAAGCCCAGATTTTATTCAGAACACAGAAAGCATATCAAACGTTTAAACTGACAATAAATGTACCATTTTAGGAAAATTATTAGCTTGTTTTGAATTTGATAGGAGGAACTGAGGAGACCAGCTGCTGGACTTTTGGGAGAGGAAATGACTCTACCTGCTCAGCCGTCCTGGGTCTTTTTTGTGGTATCTTTTGTTTTTGAGTTGTTTAGTTGGTAAATAATCTGGACTGCAGGCAGGTCAGTTCAGCACCCAGACTCTTCTACTATGAATTTTAATTTCATAGTTTTAATAGAAGTTTTAATAGCTGCAGTTTGCAGTTTAGCGTCTTAGTTTTCCTTCCATGAAACAGACGTGGAGCATATGTCAATCTAAAGAAGCCAGCACCGGAGAAGACAGCAGTGTTTCTGGATCATGTCCACTTATGGCTTCATTTTTGCCTGATCAGGCTTCACCCTAGATTTTCAGATGGCACCGTGAACTCTGTTTACAGACAACAATTTCTGGATGTGCTCCTGAGCCCATGAGGTTTCCTTGACAGCATCATGGCTGCTTTTAATGCAGCGATGCCTGAGGACCAGAAGATCACAGCCATCCAGTACTGACTATCAGCCTCATCCCTTGCGCACAGAGATTTCTCCAGATGGTCTGAATCTTTGGATATTGTGTACTGTAGATGATGAGATAGCCCTGGTCTTCAGTTTTATGTTGAAGAACATTATTCTGAACTTTTTCCACAATTTGTAGATGCAGTTTTTTCAGATTGGTTAACCTCTGCCCATCTTTACTTCTGATAAACTCTGCCTCTCTAAGATGCTGTTTTTATACCCAATCACATTGATGACCTGTTGTCAGTTAACTTAATTAGTTGTAAAATGTACCTCCAGCAGTTTCTGCTTTCCTACTTTTCTAGACTTTTCTTAGTGTGTCAACTAATACTTTTCATGCACAAGTAAAATGTCTCAGTTTAAACATTTGATATGTTTTCTGTTTTCTACAGTGGACAGAATTTAGTTTAAGAGACGTGCAAAAAAGTTTTGGTCACTTTTTTTGAATCAAGGCTGTAAATACAGTGGGGCAAAAAAGTATTTAGTCAGCCACCGATTGTGCAAGTTCCCCCACTTAAAATGATGACAGAGGTCAGTAATTTGCACCAGAGGTACACTTCAACTGTGAGAGACAGAATGTGAAAAAAAAAATCCATGAATCCACATGGTAGGATTTGTAAAGAATTTATTCGTAAATCAGGGTGGAAAATAAGTATTTGGTCAATAACAAAAATACAACTCAATAGTTTGTAACATAACCTTTGTTGGCAATAACAGAGGTCAAACGTTTACTATAGGTCTTTACCAGGTTTGCACACACAGTAGCTGGTATTTTGGCCCATTCCTCCATGCAGATCTTCTCGAGAGCAGTGATGTTTTGGGGCTGTCGCCGAGCAACACGGACTTTCAACTCCCGCCACAGATTTTCTATGGGGTTGAGGTCTGGAGACTGGCTAGGCCACTCCAGGACTTTCAAATGCTTCTTACGGAGCCACTCCTTTGTTGCCCGGGCGGTGTGTTTTGGATCATTGTCATGTTGGAAGACCCAGCCTCG